AATTAGGTACCAAAATAATAAGTACCTAAAAATTCAATATTAACATTGATGTGATCATCTCTCTAAATGTCAAAAAATAAAAACCATATCTCAATTTTCAAGTGCTAGCAGATGTATGTGTACGTGTGTATGTTCGCGCTATGAACATGTATATATGCAAACTGACCTGATCCTCAAAAACCATGTAGACAAATGAGATTATTAAACACATGAATCTCTGCAAATTTATCTACATTGGTAACTTTTTTGTGTATCCAATCACCTGGAAAAAACATGTTTAGTGTGGAGAATGAGAAATAAGATCATACATCTAAAAATAAACAAAATGAAAAAAATAATTCAATTAAAAAAAAAAGAATTCTAATCTCACCTTTGTAAATTGTAATTAAGAGTTAGAGGATGAAGATGGAATATTTTTGTTTATCAAAGAAAGAATTTAGTTGTAAACAAAATTTTTTTGTACATGTATTGTGTAAACTATCTACATTTAATGGTTTCATTAGAACTTTTATAGATGTGCTTTTTTTTTTCGCTCTTGATAACGTTACATAAAGTTGAACATGACAAAAAACTGGTTCTGAACGGTACAAGCTGACAAAATCAAATGTTTGACCTTGTGCTTTATTTATTGTCATTACGAACCATGGTCTTATTGGAAATTGAGCTCTTTTGAATGGAATTAAGGATGCGTTTGATTACAAGTAGGAAAATTACATGGAAAGAAAATGAATTCCAAGGAACTGAATTACCTAGAAATTGTTTTCATGGAAATTGTAAATTATTGTGTTTGATTGTATAAATTTTTCACATGGAAAATGTTGAAGTAAAAGTATTTTTTGATATTCGTTTGACTTTGTTTTACGTGGAAATTGTCAATTTCAGGGATATCCTCTTTTACAATTATTCCTAAAATTTGTTCCCATTGCCAACAATTAAAAAAAATAAAAAAAGCAAAAAAAAAATAAAAAAAAAGGTGGAAAACCAAAAACCACCTATCCCCTAGGAAAAAAAAAGGTGGAAAATCACGCTTTAAGGTGTTGTACCTAGAAATTCATGGAAAATCAATTCCCTGGAAAATTTTGTCAATCAAACATGCCAAAAGTGGAAGTTGGAATTCGAATTCCAAGTTCCATGGAAAATTTCGTGCAATCAAACGGGGCCTAAGTTTCAATCATTTTTCAGAGGTATAAAATGAATCCTTGGTAAGAAGACATACTTTCCACAATATTCGCCAGATATAATTTCAGCAAGAATTACGTTCTTTTCAAATTTGCGACAAGTAAGGCGTGTCCTATTACATAACCCTTCAGAAGGATTGATATTTCGTAATAACATCACAGGACAGTTTACTTTAAGTTTCAATTCATGTGGTGGACTGTCATTTGAAGTCAAACTATTTAAAAAATCTTTCTGTACACTCTGTTTCGATTTGTCAATTGCTTCATCAAAACTATAATACGTATAAAGTTGACCAGGAATTTGTTCGAGTAGAATTCTGTTAATATGATCAACACATTCATTCGTAGGCGTAAGAATCACTCGATTTGCCATCGTATCTAGATTATCAGCATATGCTTCTATATTCGGAAAAACATGATGTATTAATTCTTTCAAAGATGTAATTTCTTCCTCAAGTGGTAAAACTATATTGTCTGGAAGTTTGATACATCTACAAGTATGTTCTTGTTCGGTTCCATCTCCAATTCTTAACAAGTAATGACAAAATGTGGGATCAAACTTTGCCCTCATATTTTTGACTACTGATAGATGGAAATACAAAGGCCATAGGTAAGAGTAAACTAAGATAGCTTTCATAATGTCTTCCTTTTTTCCTTTTGGTACAACTGGTAGAACTTGTCGAAAATCTCCCCCGAGCACTATCACTTTTCCACCAAAGAGTAAATTACAATTAGTAATATCTCTAAGCATTTTGTCTACAGTTTCTATAGCACAACGATGTATCATAGGTGCTTCATCCCAAATGATTAACCTAGATATTTTCAACAAATTTCTTAAAGCTGATTGCTTGCTAACATAACAACTGATTTCACCACCTATTTCTAAAGGAATTTTAAATCTTGAATGAGCAGTTCGACCTCCAGGTAATAAAGATGCAGATACTCCAGATGATGCTATTGTTAGAGCAATTAGATTTTGAGACCTTACACCAGCGAGAAGTGATTTATATGAAAAAGTTTTCCTGTCCCACATGGATCGTCAATGAAGAAAGCACCACTTGATTTTGATTTTACTCTTTCCATAATCATATCATATGCAAATTGTTGTTCTTTATTTAATCTTGATGTAGAAGCAATGTCCTCTTCGACATCGAAGTGAATTGTCTCATATTCAATCATTCTCTTCAACCTTTCATTTTCATCTATACTCACATTGAATGACACCATTCCATAGTCATTTATATTTTTACCCAACGTTTCTAAAATAGAAATGGTGTCCTCTAAAGCACGCACTTCAGCTGCCTCCACAGATATATTTTCATGTACATAATCATCAATCATACAAATCCTAAATTTGTCCCACAACAACTTCGGATTATTAGCGTTAGAAAGAGTAAGCAATGTAGTGAATAGACGTCTTAAAGAAGTAGGCATTTCATACAGAATAGCTTCAGATAAATATTCTTCACAATGATTGTCTCCACTTAATAAAGCATGTAGAAGTGCTGCTTTTCGATAGGTAGCAACAGTTAGCCCATTGACAGTTCGTAAATCATTAAATGATGTTGGTCCTCTAATATGATTTAGAAGAATATGAAGAAAGTATCGTTCTCTTTCAGATGGATTAGCTGTAACAATTCATCCTACAACAATTTGTTTCTTTCTAACAATCCAAATTTTTTGTTTTGAGTTCCAGACAAAGTGTGATGGAAAATCTCGATATAACAATGTTCTAGCAAATTCATTTATTTCATTCATGTAAAAAAATTCAGTCAACATAGTTCTTTTCGTATTTTCATTCCAAAGAATAGTAGATAAATCATCATGATCATTATATGTAATTTGTTGATTATCTTCAATGTGAAGTTGTAAAGAATAAACAGGTGGATGTATTTCACACAAATTGAAAGAGAAAATCCTACACATAGCTTTAGGAGGGGATATCCATCTAGCAGATTGATAAGCTAATATTTCATTAATTTCCTTATTCGTTTTATTGGTACCAATACACATATTTGTATAAATATTTTACAGTTTTTATAGAAGAACATATTTCAACATTGATGTGACAGTCAAATTTCGCACTTAAATAAGGATTATATGCTATGACCTAATGATTATCTAACATGTGGCCTCTAACTTTAATAGAAATACCATTATCTTGACGCCTATACAATGGGTATGTATTATAACCAAATATAGTGGTATTATAAAAATCCCTCGAATATTTATTTTTACAACCTTTATTTGTCTCCATACATACATTTTTGGGATTTAGATTTCCGTAAGGACCATGTATATTATGTTCACAATAATAGAATGAAGATGCGAATATTTATTTTTGTCAGGAATCTCACAGAACACTAACTATCAACTTATTCAGCACAAGAGATTTTATAGGCGCAGTTAAAAATCAACAATAGATGTGCATGAGGAAGACCTCTTTTTTGAAATTCAATTACATATATGTGAGTAACAATTGCACCTAATAAATTTTTCTTATATAAATCGTTCTTTAATTCTTTCAATTTTGCTCTAAATACATGTGTAATTAAATCTGGTCGATTTTGAATCTCATCATTGTGTTTCAATTCTTCCTTAATTTCAGGCCAATTTGGATTACAAGTTATAGTTAAAAACATATCTGATTTTCCATAACGTTGTACCAGAGCCATTGTATTCATGTATCTCCTTAACATATCTCTAGGCCCACATGTAACAAATTGTGGTAAAACAAACTTTCTTCCAGTTTTAGAACCCCTTGTTTCTCCATTTTGAACTCTATCTACAATGTCTTGATAAAGTTCAGCACAAATTCTTTTTTGATTATTACGAAAATAATCTAATCTAGTAGTTTCAATCTTAACATACATATCTACAACATATTGTTGAAATAGTCTACCACTGTGAAGCAATAAATACTTACCAGGAAGCC